CAAATCAGTACCATTTGGCATGAGATGTTTTTTTCTCCTATTTTTTTGGAATCGGTGACCTCGAAAACTGTTATCTGGAGTGTTTACTCCTCTCTTCGCTCCTCATTTGACGTTTTAGCCACTAAAGAGCCAAAATCGGCCGCCATCTTGGAGTTTGGTCATTTCCGTGGGTCGAGGGGTCTGTATGACAATTTTTTTGGAATCTACGATTCAAAAAACATGAGGATCGACATCTTTCTTGACGTTTTGTGCCGTTTCACCAACATTTCAATTTCAGCCTCCATTTTGGCCGCCATCTTGTTTTTGGGGCCTTGGCATCAAAATCGGATAGTCCACCAAAGATTTTCTCATTCTAGGGACCAAAATGAAGGAGTAAACTTGCATCAAAAACGTGCAAACGGGACGTAATTTCCGAACACATGCTTCCCTGACTATGCAATAAATCGCCTTTTTCCGTCATTTTTGAGCATTTCCGGCCGATTTTCATTTCCGTTTAGATCCGTTCCCCATCGATGCACGTTAGTAAGTGTTTATTACTCGAAAGTATATACCTTAAGGTTGAAATAGAGAGAGAAAATTGGAAATTGCAGTTACAATCTATGGAAAGCATCGGTTACGGTGTGAAAAATCGTCTTTCGGCGTCAATTTCGAGGATTTTCGGTCGGTTTCCAGTTTCCATCAGGCCGTTAATCGATCGGTAAATGTATGAAAAGTGTCGATAGTCTGATTTTATACATCTTAGAGGGTAAACTGGGGGAAAACATCGTTAATTGAAGTGTTCATTACCGAAATATTTGGATTAAAATGTAAAAAATCGTCTTATTTTACCAATTTTTGACCTTTTTTGGCCTATTTGAATTTTTTTAGGCCCTTAACCGTCCGATAAAATTTGAAAAAAGTATATCAACCAAAAGTATATATCCTAAGCTTGAAGTATAAAAAAAAAATCGAAAATCGGAGTGACTGTTTTTTAGATAATTGAGTTTGAACATTGAATGGCGAAAGAATCGTAAATTTTAAAAAATTCTAAATTACGGCCATTTAAATCATTTTTAGCTTAATTTCAATGGCATATTTAGAATCTACATGAAAAATTGGTCTAGAAACACTCTTTCAAAGTATGATGGATCGAAACAGAGTCTCGCTATGGAGAGTCAAAGAGAGGGAAGTCGAGAAAATGAGAATCGCTAAAACGGGCTTTTTTGAATATCGCTAAAATTCACCCCATCTTTGGGGGTCGATATCTCGCGAAAGGGGCGTCGGATGGGAAAACCCTTCAAATTAGTCTCTTATAATGATGTAAAGACCCCGTATACCAATTTTCAGCCAAATCGGAGGGGGTCGGGTTCCGAGCCTGGCACAGTTGACGTGGAATGTCCCATTTGTCCTCAATTTTTAAGGAGCTCTGCTGTAATTCCATCTTCGTTTGGAGCTTTGTTATTTTTCATTTTTCTGATTCTTTCTGCAACTTCTTCTATACTTGCTGTTTGTGACAAATCATCCTCACTTATGTGGTCTGCTTTTTCCATTGTTTCTTGGTCGTTTTGAATCATCCTTTCCTTTTCATTTAGCAGCTCTTCGAAATGTTCTGTCCATCTCTCCATTATGTCTTTCTCTTCTCCCAGTAACTGACCATCTTTACCTCTGCCTGCACCCACTTGTATTCGGTTGATATCCCTTTTTCATTCTATTTACTGTAGCATAGAATTTTCTACTTTCATTTCGTTTGCTTAGTTCTTCTATTTCTTCCATTTGTTGGATCATTGCTTCTTTTTTCTTTTTTCTAAGAAGCTTATTAGCCTTTTTTCTTGCTTTGTGATATTTTTCTTCATTTCCTCTTGTGTTTCTTTGCAGCGTCTTTTTTCTTGTGGCATTTTTTTTTATCTATGATGTTCATGCATTCTTCATCGAACCATTCTCCATTTCTGGTTTTTCGTTTTTCTCAAATTGTTTCTTTTGATGCTTCTAAAATTGCTTTCTCAGTTACTGTCCAAATCTCTTCAGGCGTTTGATTCCTTCCCTCCTTCCATTCCATCTGATTCTCGCGTTAGCTTGCTTTTTTAGACATCCTCGTACTTCTTTTGTAATTCTTTATTCTTGCTTAAGTTTTCTGTGGCCCAGCGCTTCACTTCTTGTTTTGGCCCTTTCATTACATCGGCAATTCTTTCTCTAACTTTAACTTTTACAAGGAAATGGTCTAAGTCGCAGTTGGGTCCTCTGCAGCTCTTTACATCAATTTCTGATGATATATGTCTTGAAGAAACTAGTCCGTGATCAAGTGCTGTGCTTTTGACAAAAAGTTTGTTTCCTGCTGCGAATTGTACCATCATGTTACCATCATCATGCAGCGTGTGAATACCAGCTATTTGCTTTTGATCTTTGTCTTTTCTAACTTTTGCATTGAAGTCTCCCAAGACTATCAGCATATCCTGCTGGCTTACTTTTGTACACACTTTTTCGAGTGCATCGTATAAACTTTCTTTTTCTGTTTCTTCTTTCTCCTCTGTTAGTGCGTGCATTGACACAATGGTGATATTTCTAAATTTTCCTTTTATTCTTATTCTGCATATTCTGTGGTTGATACCTTTATATTCCAGGAGAGTATTTCTTGCTGTGTTGTATGGTAAGAATCTTGCGCCAAATTGCTGTGTGTTTTCATGTGTTCCTCTGTACATCATGCTGAATTCTTTCTTGTCTATTCTTCCTTCTCCTTGCCATCCGATCTCTTGAACAGCCATGACGCCAATGGCACATTTCTGCATTTCTTTGGCTACTTCCATCATTTTTCCCGTTTTTTTCATGGTGCCTACATTCGATGTGGCTAATATGATGTCCTTGGGTTTTTTCCATGATCCATTCTCTTTAAGTCGCTCTATCCGTAAGTTGTCTGGGTACGGAGGCTTCGTCTTCGTTTTCGCAGCTTGGGTATTTTGACGTGGTAGGGTTGCTAGCCCTACGCACAACCCTCCTCCTTTTCCTGGGCTTGGGACCAGCTAGAGAAAAACAACTCGCCTCTAGGCGGAGTTGTTGGTTTTTTAAAATTAATTATGTTGGCGGTCTTTAAATGGCAGAAAGCTAGTGTTTTAAAGAAAAGAATCTGTCAGTTGGAATTTTTTAGCCAACGTGCGTCAAAAATCACTACCCAATTGCCATTTTTAAAAAAATCACTAGCTTGTTAAAGATTAAGTATTTTAAATAACCACAATCATTTAGGTTTGGTGTTTCCAAATGTGCCAGGAATCCCAATTAGAAGTGATATCATAGGTTACCAACGTACTTTCTTTTCTTCTCAGCTAGCATTTTTGAATATATACAGGTGACCTTTTTAAAATAGTGATTAAGGCCTGAACTTTGCACCTAAAATCTCCCAGGTATCATCGGATTTTTCGCCTTGACGTATTGGAGCTAGAGTTGCAATTTGGAAAAAGAAGTCAGGGTCCATGCCTCTTAAAAAGAGGCCAAACAGGACCTTCTTTTACCTTGGAACACAACCAGAGTTTCAACGTGATAGGTCATGAAGCAAAAAAGTTATCTGGGTGGTGCAGGACTTTTGGATCATCTTGTATACCAGTAAACACCCTGTTATGTATATCTTCAAGTAGTTCCCGTAGATTTCCAAAAATTTTTTACAAATATAATTTTTCTTTTCCAAATGTTGACACATTTACAGTTATGACGCTTGCGAATCGCGGTTGCAATCGATTCAGAGTGGAACACCAAGTACTGAAGCTTGGTGACCAAAATCTGCCAATAGTTTAGGGCTCTTGAACTACACTGTCATGGCGAGCAAAATACTCCTTTTAATTTACATTGATTTAGTCAAACTTTGTCAAAAAGTTATCTCTTATAAAGTGGTAGATAAAGATTCATTTAATCTGGAAAATTGCAGCGTCTTTGATTGCTTTGATTGTTTAATGTTTAATGGTTTTCATAATTTATATTTTCATCAGGCAAAGAAAGATTAAAGAAAATAAGCCCCCTCAAGAGGATACATCACCTAAGGCACCAAAGGAGCGCAAGAATCGCTCACCAAGAACTCGCAAAGAACCTAAAACGCTAAAAGAATCAAAGAAAAAAACCACTTCCAAATCTGTATCTTCAGAGGAGGCTTTAATTGAAAAAGTGACACGCAAGTAAGTTTCAAACCTTAGATCTTTAAAATTGTTCTCAAGTGTGCATCGCATCCACCTTGAAAGTGAAAGCTTCCTTCTCTTCAATCTCTGTATCTCTTCGTAAATTTCGAATTAAGGGCTGCATTATAGGTGTTAATTAGTTTCTAACTACTTCCACTGCAACACTCATAGCATGGACTCATACACTATCGGTTAGTGTGGAAGGATAAGAAACAAGGATGATTGTCTTACAGGTCACTGTAGTCTTGACCGGCCCTGAACTCAGGGTTTACTGGAAGACGAGACAACGCCACCCCGGACGCATAGCACATGGCTGGGAGCTTACGCGAACTGCTGTAAGACTTGAGGTTCCACAGGAGAACGGGGGTGAAGCTGGAAAAATCGTACATATCCCTAGAGCCTTAGTACGGAGACCTGCTGTACAACTGTTAGGTTGGTTCAAATAATTTTTAACTTTTCATGTATATTGGTGTTTTCGTGGCTTTTATTGATTTTTTACATTTTATTCTTAATATGGATTCAATCTTTAAAGTAAAATTCTTTGTCATTCACTAGCCCAAAATTGTCGCTTAACACTTCGAATGTAAGTCCCCTTCCGCGGACTGTCCATTGGCGAGTTTCGGGAATTTGACATGAAATTTTCAGCTTTTCTATGCAAAATAAAAATGAAACTTAGATATTTTTAATTCCACTAGCTACTAAAATCAGTAGTTTTTGGTTTAACGCCCAACAATCATGAAGGATTTGTTGACTGCATCCAAAAAAAGAGGTGTCCATAAGATTCGTGTCCTGCACTGTAGACCCTATTTACCCACTCAGTATTGGCTGCTGCGGTTGCCGAACAGTGTTCGATAGTAAGATGTACTCGTGAATTGTTGATACCGTGCATGCCTATTGCCGTCTCACCACCACCACCAACTGATTTCAAAGAAATTTTCGACGATTTATTCAGTTTAAAGTGTTTTGATGCCAGTATACTGTGTCCCTACTGAATATGCATTCATTTGCAGTAAAGAATTGTGTCAAGGAATATTGAAATATTCTGTGTATGAGCAAACCATAGTGACCAAACCATAAAACTAAAAATTCAGGCATATTCTTGCACATGCTTAGGTTTTAACGCCAAATATTCCACAAATTGTCTACCTTGGTCGTCCTTACCGAAGACCACTTCGCATATTCAAGGACACCACTCACTGGCGTCAAAACACTTAAAACTGAATGAACCGTCAAAAATTTCTTTTGAAATCAGTTTAAGATAGTGAGATGGCAACAGGCGTGTACATTATCAACGATTCAGGAGCACATCTTATTGTCAAACACTATTCTGCAATCTCAGCAGCCTCTATTGAGTGAAAAAACAGGGTCTCCAGTGCGGGACACAAATCTTGTGGACACCACTTTTTTGGATGCAGTCAACAAATCCTTCGTGATTGTTGATCCTCATACCAAAAACTACTGTTTTTAGTAGCTACCGGAATTGTATATACCTTGGTTGGTTTTTTATTTTGCACAGAAAAATGGAAAATTAAACGTCAAGCTTTGGAACCTCGCTAGTGAATTATTAGACAGTCAACGGTAGGGGATATTCGAAGTGTTAAGCAACGATTTTGGGCTTATGAATGACAACAAATGTCACTCTTAAGGTTGAATCCTAATTAAGAGTAAAATTCTAGGGAAAAAAATAATAATAGAAAAAAAAAGAAAAAAAAAAATAAATGGAAATAATCAATAAAAAAGCCGTGATAACATCAGTGGACATGAAAAGTTCAAAGTTATTAGAACGAATCCTACTGCTTAAGCATACCTATCAAATTAAAATATTGGTGCTTATTAAGGAAGTGTGTAATACGAAAAAAAATAACCCTCATTAATTCGTATTATTCCTCTTTTAGTTCCAGTTTGCATTACTGTAGACTCTATGGGTCAATTGCGCTGGCCACAGAATCGTGTTTTGATGCTTAATTCTGGCATCTAGCTCAGCTAAAGATACTAAGATCCGATGGAACAGAAATTTTCTACGTTCAATATTAACTGAGATATCGTGCTGTGAAAAATTCGGTTTATGACATCATCCACCAGAGTAGCAATACCTATGACTTCTTCCACCTTGCTTTCATCGGAGGTTCACGTTGAGTAACCAGTGCAATTGTGCGTCACACTGACTGATGAAAGCAAGGAGGAAGAAACCAAGGGTGTCACTACAGTGATGGATGACATTGAAAACCCTACTTTTTAAAGCGCAATATCTTGGCTAATATTAAACGTTGAAAATTGCTGTTTGGACGGATATTATTATTTGCACTAGACACTGTCAAAAATACACGGGAAGCGTGAATACTTCTACCAACCGGTGTGCGTAAACAACCTCGGATCCGCAAAGCATTACTACAGGGAGAAACAACTATTCGCTCTTGCGAGCATCCTGGTCAACGTCTTCCAATCGGACTAATTTTGATCAACTCCTCATGACAATAGTGTAATAGACCCGTGGTAAGTTGGGTGTTGGATCCCTGAGCCCTGAGCCTGTCTGCCTTGGGGGCGCAGCGTAGCTCTATCCAGAGGAAATAATTCGCAACACGTCTCTGATAGGGATCACCTTTTATTCCCTCTACGAACTAACAGAATACAGATGCACACACCAACTTCGTGATCATGGAAATACACTCCACACCACAACTAAGCCGACCTATCTCCGAGTGCTTAGGGCATCAGACCTTGGCGAATGTATACTCTCCTGAAACGCGTAGCTGACTACCCAGAGTGAAAGTTGAAGCGGGCCGAACTCAGCTCCGGCCCCGAGAAGCTGGCCATGAGACATCACTCGCCGCAATTCAAACCCCAAAACACTTGGTACAAAGGACACATACAATTTCCCCGGAAATTGCGTGTGATCCATTGCTATAGCGAAGCGTTCACTAAGTTGGAAGAGAATCGCTCCAGCCAATTATTCTCTAGGGGGAGGCAGAGTGAGTGGGAACAGCAGCTTTATAGTATAAAGTTAGTAGTTAAATTTTTGGTGGTCTGTTGTGAAGATTTGGACGAAAATTTATTTCTTTATTACATTTTTTGTTGTTGTTGTTCTTGCTGTCATGGTTTATTTATTTTTCTTTGTTCCCTTTCAGGAAAAGCGCAAAGAAGAAAAAGTTGGTGCTAGAAGAGGCATTTGTGGAAGAACCTGTAGTCAATAATGAAGAAATTGAAGAGAAAATTGAAGGAACCACTCCATTAATTGCAGGAAATTCTGAGGGGGCCACATTCATTGAAGTGCCACCAGGAGATATAACAGTGAGAACACCAGACTCAGAGCGTAATCTAGAGCACTCAGCAATTGAGGAAGTTAAAGATGAAAAACTGGATCTGGAAACTTCAGAAACACCAGAAACGGTTGACAATGCAGAAGTTGCGGATATGGAGATGTTGACCGAAGCAGACTCAGAAATGACTCCAACACCAACAAAGCGTAGATCGTACAAACGGAAGCCCGACAAAAGAGGCCGACCAAAGTCACTAGCGAGGTGAGTCACCTTTTTCATTTAGCCTCTTATTTTAATCCCCCACTATTGCACAGATTTACGCAATATTTTTTGTTCAAAAAGATAGAAATTTTTAAATTTTATTAGGAAATAACTAGTCATTCTTCCAAGTATGAACGGAGAAAAAAGAGATAATCCCTTCATTCCCTGTGCGTTGATGGTTTTTCTGTTTTGTTCGGTGGATGAATAAAATAAAGAGACTCATGTTGTGTATTTAATGGATGGTCTAATGGGAGCTCTGCTGATGCTCCTGAAATAATGTGAAGTAAAATTTAACATAAGCCATTATACAGGGTTATCCAAAAGTCACCTACCACCCCTGTAACTTTTTCCTAATTGAGATAGAAGTATGAAGCTTTGGCAATGTTCCTCAGTCTAAAAAAGTAACTTTTTCTTTTCCCCAAAATTTTGGGGGGCGGGGGCTAACTATTTTTTCAAATGGGAACCCCCCTGTTGTGATACCTTATTAAAAAGATAGTAAAAAAGAAAATTTTTGGCGCCAACCGCAGGTCAAAACGTTGATTTTTGACAAAATGGCGGCCGGTCAAAGTTCAAAATGGCGGAAATTTGGCATCTCCGTTTTTTATCGGGGGATTGGTCTGAAAGATCAGAATCCTAAGGTTTTTCTGGACGGAAAAAACGACTCCGACAGTAGGTTTCCAGAAAGGTCAGTCCTTTTCAAAATGGCTGCGGTTACAATGGCAGCTGAGAGCGGGAAGTGGATATTTAGGCTGCTTATCGTTAGATTCGTATGAGACTTGGTATGGGGGGGGGGATATTTTGGCACGAGAAGTGCGAATCTTTCATTGGATTTTCGAAACTTCGCAAAAATTTAAAAAGGCGGCGAAAAAATGACGGGAAATCCGTATCACTGACCATAACACTGATTTTTCCGCCGTATTTCAAAAATCTCATGAAAGATTCATTTTCTGCGAGCCAAAAATTATCAGAGTATGGACTTTCGTGCAAATCCATTGGTAAACAGCCGTGATATGGATTTCCCGTCATTTTTTCGCCGCCATTTTAAAGTTTTTCGAAATTTCATAAATCCAATGTAAGATTCGTTCTTTTCGAGCCAAAATACACCCGGATACCAAGTCTCATATAAATCTAACGATGAGCAGCCTAAATATCCACTTCCCGCTCTAAGCCGCCATTTTCTCCGCCGCCATTTTGAAAAGGACTGACTTTTCTGGAAAACTAATGCCAGAATCGTTTTTCTCGCCCCGAAAAACCCTAGACTTCTGAGTTTCAGACCAATCCACCGATGAAAAACGGAGATGCCAAATTTCCGCCATTTTGTCAAAAGTCAACAATTTGACCTGCGGTTTGCGCCCAAAATTTTCTTTTTTTATTATCTTTCGAATGAGGTATCACAAAAGGGGGGTTCCCATTTGAAATAAAAAGTCAGCCCCCGCCTCCCTTAGAGGGGGCCGCCCCCCAAAATTTTGGTGGACCAAAAATTTGCTACTTCAGACCAAGGAACATTGCCAAAGTTTCAAACTTCTATCTCAATTAGGAAAAAAGTTACAGGGATGGTAGGTGACTTTTGGACAACCTTGTATGAGTATTGTGTGTGAAATTGGTGTCCTTGGGCTCATTTATAAATAGTTGTAATGGTCAGTGAATAGTTTCCACAATATTAAGTCATTTCTATCAGCATCTGAAACAATCATGCAAAATGTTCTTGAGCCTCCTCAATATTTTGCTCCCTACATTCAATTTTGGGACAATTTAGCCAAGGGGCAGAGCATAGCATCAAGATGGCTCTCACAACCCATGCTCAAGCACTTTTATGCATATGCACGAACTCTTCACTAACTTTCGGTAGTACACACTGCATGGTGTCAACAGGTTTGGAAAACGGGGAATTAAAAGAGAACTGCACGAAGTTTGGGTTGTCACGGAATTTTATGAAAACGTCTTGGAAATTTTTTCAATGAGTACTTCAAGTTTTTTTTCTTTTTTTGATAAGTTTTTCTTCTTTTTTTGCCTCTTGCATTTTCTATTGTTAAGGGGAAAAAAAGTGAACTTCATTAATATGACTTTACCTCCAAGTCTGCTAGCAGTAATATAGTGTTTACACTCGGCTGAGGCGTAAGACTTCGAGCTGAAAATCGGGAAAAATGTCTCTGCCTTAAAGTCCAACTAAATGGCACCCTTCCCCTCTCTTTCACCTTCAGAGTTTGTAAAAGTCGTTGAACAGCACTCCCTGTAAATGGTCTCTCAGTGACTTCATTGTATCAGGCTGTTATTATTGTTTGCCTTCCCTAAGCTCCCTTTAAATCAAGGTTCAAAAAAAAAAAAAAAGGGAAAGATAAAGAAAAAGAGACTCAACACTGAAAGAAGTTTTTAATTATTCAAAATTTCCTCATTCTTATTTTGTGCAGGAACCTACCAAAGAAAAAACGATTGAAGTCTTTAAAAGGGGGAGACTCAGATGATGCTGAAGATGAGGATGCAACACCGCCAGCATCACCTCCTGACACTGATTCTTCCAATGTATGTATTTTCGTTCCTCATACGTATTAAGAAGTTATTTGTAGAAGTTGTTTGTATGTTATCTCTGTTTTCAACAGGATGCTTGTTGAAGTGTTTTTACGTAAAAATTCTCACAAGCTCAAGAAATCTAGTGGTCAATATGGTGGTATGGTAATAACGGCTGTAAACTAACATTACTGGAGTAATAATCGTGAAATAGCACTTCTCTTAGATGCTTCTGGTTACCAGATGCACCTTTGGGACCACAATGTAACATGTGTACACCGTAGTACATAGCGTATTGCCTTATGGGTAATGATTACATTTTGGTGCAGGCGCCTAGATTTGGATCATTTTCATTTTTTGGTGGTTGTAAAAACTGAGGTAAAATGTTGAGCATTGGATGAAATATTTGTACCGCAAAATGTACCGCAATTGGCTGCATCTGTAAATGCTGGTTTTTTTTGTTCGCTTTGACAGTGTCCATTTTAATATATTGTGATCTTCTATGAGTTTGTCCATGTGCACTCAAAACACTATCTTCCATTTTTCTTGTGATTTGGTGTAACACGACTACTTATTTGTAGAAAATGTAAAATTAAAAGGAAACTCACCTCCTGGATCTCTGTGGGAGATGGTCGCATGAAAAAAGGAGAAAGGGATGAATTGGATTTGGCAGTTGTAATCTTAATGTCATTTCAGGGGAGATGAAGGTATGGTGACTTTACTTAATGGCTACAGAGCACAGTTTCTAAACTTTTTAACAACGGAACCCTTCAATGCACCGCTTCCTCCTTTTGTCATACGACCATCTCCTAAGAGATCCAGGAGGTGAGTTTCCTTTCAATTTTACTTTCTCATAAGTTGTCATGGTACACCAAAATAGTGTTTCGAGTGCACATGGGCAAACTCACAGAATATCTTAATAATAACATATTAAAATGGACACTGTCAAAGCGAACGCAAAAAAGGAGCATTTGCAGATGCAGCCAATTGCGGTACATACATCAGGAAAAAATTTGTCAAATGGCAACAAGGCAATCTTAAAAATTCTACAGGACAAATTATTTAAACATTTTGTAAATTACTCATAAATTAACAGAGCTCTTCAAGATATCCTGCCCAAACGCAATCACTATTGGTCAAATCCATAATTTTGACGTTAAAACTTGGGAACATTGAAATGGGAGTAAAAAAAATTTCAGGAAAGTCGCACTATATACTGGAGAACAACATACTAAAACTTCAGATCATTTCACAGAGAAATGGGTCCATGCCATCGTGTCATCTCCAAACCCTAAATTTTCAAATTTAAAACTTAGCAACGTTGCAATGAGAGGAAAACATTTCCCGGTCATGCAAATCTCAGGATTTTCGTACTTTATATAGGAAAAGAACTTACTATAAATTCAGAATAATTCAAGGAGGAAAGGGGCCAATGTCACAATTTTTTCTCTAAATCCATAAATTTGAAATTTGAAACTTTGCAACGTTACCACGGGAGCAAAAAAATTTTCTTGGTCATAAAAATTTCAGGAAAGTCGTACTTCATGCCAGAGAATGACATACCACAAATATAAATCAATCCGATAAGAAATGGAGCAGGGGGAGGGGGAGATTGTGTTGCCCTTTTTCACCAAAAAAAAAAAAAAAAAAGCTAAAAAAAGCCCATAAAATCGCGATTATATTCTCCAGGAGCACCAACAACCTACTTCAAAATTATAGTTTTTAGTACCTGGTGGTGCTCCTCTTGACATTCCAGCGTTCTTGATTAACATCAATTCAAACCCCTCTCAGGTGCACTGTATTTGGACAGCTTTGAAAAACAGGTGCGAAGCATGTCGCCAATGAGCTTATGAAATTTCTGAACATTACTCTCAATTTTCCGAGCAAAAACTCAAATTGTCAGTTACTAATACTGTCATTTCTCATCTTTTAATAGCGCGCCCAGCTTGGCTGAATGCCTCCGCGCCCGGGCTACACCCCAGAGATGTGGGTTCCTCATCAGGGAGACTATTTTCATGGTTTTCTTTTCCGTTTCATTTGACTGGAAAAGGATGAACAACCATATTACTTCCTTCTACTACTGAGGAAAGCGCCCTCCTACACAATTGTGCTCCAAGGCGTTGGAACGTCTTGATCTCATTCTCTTCCTTCCCTTTATCTTCCTCTCTTCACAACAGCACCACTTTTCAATTGCATACACAACACAAACCTGAGAAGTGGTTCTATTTTGGAGATCTCAGATAGGATTCTCACCTTTCGGCAATGTCATGATACAATACCACAGTAAATACTACCGCTGTAATGGTTTTGCCTCAAGTAGACAAACAATGAATCAGTCTTTGTCATCAATAAATGTAATTCTTTCTTAGTTTTCTTGTCAAATTACTTTAGGTTAAGCATAGCAGCTTTTATTTTTATTTCATAACAGAGAGGAAGAAAAAGGAAAAGCTGTAGGTTCTCAAATTGTATCATAAAAATCTATTTAAGCTGTTTCTACCTGATCCTAGCATGTTAGCCTGCTTTAAGGTAATCTTGACGGGAACAAGAAGCTTCCTTTAATGCAAACTGCCTTGCTTACGATTAAAAAGCAGCCAGATAGTAAGAGCGCAGGTAACGTTCCAGGTTATAGAGGGAAAAGAGATGGTGAGAAAGTAACGAATGTACAGTACACCCTTATGCCACAGCTTTAAACAGCAGACTTTGTTAGACCAGGGACACAAAAATGACCACTCTCGTCTTTCTTCGGGGTTTTAAAATTGTGCTTAAATAGTATTTTCCCCCTCTCCCTTGTGTATTGTTCACAGTTTCAAACTGTATTTTGTGTTTTTGAAACTTGAAAAGGATTCAATTCTAATGTACTAAATTTGATTTGAAATAGAGTGATATTGTGGAAAAAATGTAAGAAAAGATAGTAAGATCCTAAAGTCATTGGTCCCTGATGGAGAATCGAACCCGGGATTTCCTGATTATGGTCTGAGTGCTCTACCGCATAGCCAGCGCTCGCTTCAGAAGAAAGACCACTGAACTGCATATATATGTTACAGTAAGAAACCGAAATCCGTCAAACCTAGTTTTGACTAGTCAGAACTAGTTGTCACAAACTCCATTCGCCAAAACTAGTTTTTACTAGTGAATTCCAAAATTAACTAGGACCCTCACCGCCGTAACTAGTTCTAACTAATTTTTTTTTTCAGTTGAAACTAGTTTCGACTGAAATTTATAGGTGAAAACTAGAATTACCTAGTGAAAAGTGGTTTTGTAGGATTAATTTCTTTTGTTAGTTGAAACTAGTATTAACTAGTGAAAAGTAGAAGTAAGTTGAATTCGAATAATAATAGAATTAAATGCTTTAGCACAGCGGTTTTTTTCCCACTAATTTTGTAAAAAAAAAGTCTGACAAGAAACTTTTCAAACTGAATATTTTAGCATAGCGTTCTTCTGTTTTTTTTTAAAATTACCTGCATGGAAGATGTCATTTTTTAAAGAAAAAAATAATCCCCCCCCCCCCACCAGAAAAAAGGAAAAGCTTACCTGCTGCTGCTGGGTCGATCATTTCAGCTTCGCATTGCTTTCAGTCTGCGTGAAGGCATCTAGATCTTCCTCGTTGTTGACAGAAGTAATTATGTCGTCTGGCAGATTGGAGCTTGTTAGTCCAACTCTGGGTTCAACGCCGAACGTAGCTTTATAAGGTGTCATTTTTATCCCTGTGTGCAAAGCTCTATTCTTCATAAATTGAACGAAGTTTAAGCCTACTGACCAATTAGTTGATTTATTATCAGTCATCCAAGAGGCTAACATTCGTTCAACATCCTGATTTCTCCCCTGATCGCCACCCGTACCTTGGCTCCTCGACTGCTCCAACTCCGACGCTCACGAGGCTGCGCCCATTATTACCGGACCGCGCCCGCACGCCGTCTTCTTACGCGGCCTCACCTTCGGCCATGTCGCTTTCTTTTCAGTTACAATTAATTTTGACTACTTCGTTAAAACCAGCGGTTAATTTTAGAATTCACTAGTAAAAACTAGTTTCGGCGAATGGGGTTTGTGACAACTAGTTCTGACTAGTCAAAACTAGGTTTGACGGATTTCGGGTTCTTACTGTAACATATAGACTCGAGCGGTCCTTCGCTTTGTGTAGCCCTGCCAGCTCAGCATCACAGGGTGTACGACAAGTGCTCAAATCCGGACTTTTCCGAATCTTTTTGAGGGTGTTTCTAAGGCCTATTGGTAAAAACAAAAAACCACTGCTGTCAAAATGAATTCACCTAAAGAGTTCGTTGGAATCTTTTCAGCTCGATCGGAGGTGGCAGATTGAGAAGTTCCCCTTGTAGGTCCAGTAACGTCAGCGAGTCACCTGTGAAGCGCTGGTGATACCGGACTACTAATTCTACATTCGTCAGTTTTGGCAAGACCTCCGACTTTGGTCAATTATTTATGAGTAAATTACATTATTCGACAATTGGGTGCTAAAAAGTGCGTTTTAGAACTTGATCTCGTGTAGTCTAATGGGAAATTACTGAACAGCGTTAGATTTGTGTTGCTTCCGCGTGAAATCTCGGATTTTGCGTCTCTTGGGTTCTCTTTGGAATCTACAGGCGCCCAATCACAAACGTGTCAGAGTCCCATCTCAAAATCTTATGTTATGTTATGTTTGAAAATGTTTGCATGAAACATGCAAATAGCGATCGCAAAATTTATGTGTCCCTGAGTAAGCCTGTTACAGAAGGGGGTTGTGCATTGACTGCAGGATGCAGCATCTGCACCATGTTGTAGCTCTCTCATTGGCTGACACTGATGGGTACTAATCTTTATCATAATCATTTCTAATAAAAGTTTTCTGGCAGGCAACCATTTTCTCTTCCCTCTTTATGCCACCTGGTGACAGAAATTTGTTTACCTTATACTGTCATTAATAACTTCCATTTTTTCAGAAGAGGAGATCAGCACGCAACACGCAACGCAAAAAATATGTTGATGACATAATGTTAGCAATATCTGACGAAGATTCACGGAAGTCACCATCCCCAAAACCAGACGTTTCCAAACATTCCGTTCTTGAGACGTCTCAAGAGGGAGCCATCAAGCCTAACTTTGTTTATATTGTAAGTAAGAAAAAAATGTGGCTCAAACCGTATGTAACAGGGTAGTGAAACAGTGCTGGGTCCAGACTATTTCGAGAGAAAGCGAAGCCAAAAACTTACAATCAGGGTCAAAAATTTTAGCTCTAATGACTATCGGTACAAGACTGAAGGGGAGAGGGTCTACCTCATGCTTATGCATAGGAATATTAACGGGGTCACGCCGAGAGATCTATAATGTTTTAGGTCTTTTAGACCTCATCAGTAGATCACACTCGTTGGTGAGCCCAGTTTAGCATCCTGCAAAATCCAAGAAGGCATCTAAACGCCGTCATGAATGTGACACAAGGCATGACACAAGAGTGTGATCCTTGTACCATATACGGTTGCTGCTGAACAACTCTCAGCACAAAACAAGGAAAACCCGAAAAAGAAGCTGGGCTCACTGACAAAGTAATCTATTAACGAGTTCTACGAGGGGCGTCCGATAAGTAAATATCCTCCTCCCCTTCTGAAATCCATAAAAATGGACTAATTTTAAAAAAATTGAGCTTAAAGTATTCCTTAGAATATACTGAGCTCAACAAAACAAACCACAACAAAATTGGACTGTGTGCGGCCGAATGCGAGCCGTTTGATGGCGTCGAGATGCGCGCCGCTCCTGCGAGGATATTAAGTCTGAGACAAAAGAAGAGCCTCTATACCAGAGTTTTAGTCGTTCATTACCGACGAAAAATCAAAGAAGTCAAGCGTAGAATAAGGGGCTTGCCTCATTGCTCCAAGCAGGATACCGAGAGGACAGTTTATGGATGCCACACGCGTAGAAGTCTTTCAGCTGACTTGTTACGAAAGTGAGGATGGCTTGTTTGACCTCTCCCATAGATTCAAAATGATCTCCCCTGAGTTCAACTTTTAGTTTCGGGAATAAATGGTACTCTGTCGGTGCCAAATCAGGAGAGCATTGAGGGTGTTGGAATACTTCCCATTTAAAAGATGCCAAACGATCTTGAACAATTTGAAGCGGTATCTCTAAAAGGAACATGTGTTAAACTTACTTTCTTTCTTTACATGTGTTAAACACTGCCACTGGACAAATTGTTTTTTGGAAACCACAATGCTAAGGCATTATATCAATGAACCGTTCATGATATCTTACTATCTGTGTTCATCGTTATTTTATGATCGATGCAGATTATGTGTGCCACTCGCAGGGAAAATCCAAATTATTAAAACAGAAATGTGATAGCAGAACCCCTAGCTGCGATGGATGCAATTCGACGGGAGTGGCGCGCTCAAACGGCTCGCGTTCGGCCCCACACAACCTAATTTTGATGCAGTTTCTTTTATTGAACTCACTATATCCTAGGAAAGATCTTAAGCCCAATTTTTTTTTAAAAAATTGCTTCATTTTTATAGAATAATTGATATTGTATAATTGATAGATTTGACATCCCGGGTTCATTAATCGCCTTTAAGATTTTCTAATGGTTTGAGTCTATTCTATCTCCTGAATAGGCCAGAAACCATCCGAATTCACTAACTGAACCATGATGCCTGAAGGGAATGGAAGGGGGGGGGGTTGTTGATGCCACCGATTTCAGCGTCAGCATTAGGGTTCTCCCAAAAAAGTGCGACCTTTTGACCAAGTTTCAGATTTTTAGGTAAAGTTTAAGTGCTGCCGCATCGCACATTTGTGAAATTCGCGATCCCGATAATGAAGGTTTTTGGCGATTTGATGCTTTTCTTTAATTGACGAAGCAGTCATGCTAGAGCCCCAAAAATTTGATAAAGTAGCCTCTTAACACACTAATTTTGATATAAATTAAACATTTGGGCGTGCGAGACAGGGAAGTATGTTTTAAAAATTCGCAAACATACTTCCTTGTCTTGCACGCCCAAATCTTCAATTTATATCAAAATTAGTGTGTTAGGAGGCTATTATCTCAAATTTTCGGGGCTCTAGCATGACTGCTTCGTCAACAAGGAAAAACATCAAATCGCCAAAAACCTTAATTATTGGGATTGCAAATTTCCCAAATCTGCGATGCGGCAGCACTTAAACTTTACCTAAAAATCAGAAAGGTCAAAAGTGTTTTCTAATCAAATGGAACACTTTTATAGCCATAAAACGTAACTTTTCGACGGTCGAACTTTCTTTGGGACACCCTAGTCAGCATATGGCATTAAACCGATTCTTCCTCCATATGTTGGAGAATTTTTCATGCAAATTATTTCGACTGCATCTTGGAAGGTCGACCGAGATGCAGCTCAGCCCTAGGAGGAAGAAGGGGGGGTGGGACCGAACTTGAGCAGCGAAACTGGCTTGCGCTGGTTGCATCGCACCAATGCTTCCACCATGTTTTGGAGACTATTTTAGGCAGATGAGACCGACTGCATCTCAAGATGCAGCCCAGAATTCACCCCTGGGAGGAGGGAGGGGGAAAGTGAGGGTGCGACAGTGCAACTGTGCTCAAGCCCCCTTTTATCCACCACCAGGTCCCTGGTCAACATCGGTCACCAGTGATGGACACCCCAGGGAAGATATAAAATGCCTTTACTTCATTTATCTATTTATTTTTATTCATGAGTTATTTTGGATTTCGGATCTGAAGGAGGAAATGTTTAATGCAAACTTCTCTTTATTCCATAATTTTAAAGTTAAGATGTAGTTAAAGATGTTGTTGATCACTGGTCACTTTACCCAAGAACTAGAAGCACCTCAATGGCTGAACGCACACGTTTTCTCCCCTCCTCTCGTCCTGTTCAACACCGATCCTCATTCCGTTGTGCCGCCTGCAGTGCCGCGGCGAAGTTGCGCGCGCAACTGCTTGCTTTTCAGTTTCAATGTTTTGCGAGTTCAATCCGGTGCTGTGCGTCGAAATTTTGAAAAATCACCGAACAGAAAAGTTAGGATTTTTTTTGCTTTTGGTGGAGGGGGCCAGTTTTAGGGGCCACATTGGCGCAGAGCCTTCATTTTTAAGTGCTATGACTGATTTCATAGGCGCATTTGGCGCGTCGGCGCCTATGAGTTTCGAACTCTGTTCCTGATGCTTACCCTGACATATTTTTCCCCTTTAATCCAAGAGCCCGATGGCATTATGTGACAAATTTGTGGCAGAAGTTTTGACCACTTCAGTCGATAGCCTTACATGCACTGACACTGAAAATGATCATTGGCCACGTTGTAAAGTATGCCAACAACTGGTGGACAACCATTTTCTGTGTCAAATCAGATTTAAGTGGTCAGAACTTGTGTCCCTGGTGTGTCACATAATTTTGTCTGGCTCTCCAACTACTTTTACTTCTGTGCTCTTGCACATTTGAACATGATTCGTCAACTGCAAGGGTATTCGTGGTAACTTTTATATTGGACCAAGCCACCAGAAATCACATTCTCTATATGCATGCTAAATTGGCTGACCTAGGACGTTCAAATTGGGTACCCAGGAAGTGACAGTATCATAAATGTACAAGATTTGGGTCATTATTATCAGCTGCCACATGTAAAATTATGTCCACTGACCTCATTATGGGAATGAGATCATGGAAATTAACTTCAGATTGACTTTACAACTTTATAGTTAAGCTTGCAAAATTCGTGGGAGTGACGATTGACTATGCATCCCTTGTCTATTTAAATCTTGAGCTCAGCTGACTTTCCGGAATGCAGTGGGCCTCATTCGCCTCAAAAAATCTCTGAAACATGGCGAAAGCATTGCGTTGATGCGACTTGCTCAAGCCTGCTTCACTGCTTGAGTACGGTCGCACCATCCCATCCCCGCTCTCTCCCCTTCCCTCCTCCCAGGGCTGAATTCTGGGCTGCATCTTGAGATGCAGTCTGTCTCATCTGCCTAAAATAGTCTCCAAAACATGGTGGAAGCATTGGTGCGATGCAACCAGCGCAAGCCAGTTTCGCTGCTGAATTCGGTCCCACCCCCCTTCTTCCTCCTAGGGCTGAGCTGCATCTCAGTAGACCTTCCAAGTTGCATTCGAAATAATTTGCATGAAAAATTCTCGAAAATATGGCGGAGGTATCGATTTAATGCAACTTGCTGACGTTGAAATCGGTGGCATCAACAACCCCCCTCCCCCTTTCCCTTCAGGCATCATGGTTCAGTTTGTGAATTTGGATGGCCTCTAGCTTATTCAGAGAATAGAATAGACTCAACAAACCATCAGAGAATCTCAAAGGCGGCCAATGAATGCGGGATGTCAAAACTATCAATTACACACATACGCTGAATTGGCAACTTTTACCTGCAAAATGGGGGGTAAAACTTTGAGATAGGAAGAACTGGAAAAGAAATGGACACTCTTGATCAGTAAGTTAATACCTGCAACATAGCAAAAAATCAGCTGGTTTATTTGGGCCCACTTTTCTCATAAGAAGAGACTATCCCTCTCTTCGACTCGCAATTGAAAATTTTGAAATATCGAAGCCTTGCTTTCCCTTCAAAATAGTAAGGACCCAGCACTATTATATCTCCTTATTCATATTGTTAGTATCATGGTATTTTTTGTAAAATTGATTGATATCACCAAGATTTTATTTGAGTGTGTATCTGCAAGTGTTACTTTCGAATGGATAACGTCAGGCATCTGGCTAACCTGGTGAAAAGTGTTACATTAAAGTAATACACAAAGAGAAAAAATTAGTTTTTGCCAGGATACTAACTACTAAGAGTTCCAAGCTGCTGCGTTATTGTTGTGAGTCTCTGGTACATGTTATTAATTTGCTCAGACAACCAAAGCAACCTTTCGGAGCTGAACAGCACAGATGAAGCGTTTTTTCAGCAGTAACGCTCTTTGTTTGAAAGTCCCCCCCTTTTTTTTTGTTTTGTGCGTACCCCTAATTTTTGAGAGAGCAAATACACACTTGAGTATTGCAATAAAAAAACTCCTGTCTTGTGTTTTTTTAAATGAAAGAAAGATTCATGATGCCTCACCTGACGAAGATCTATTTAATTGTTGTCTTTTCAGAATACAACTGACGAAGACTCAATGGTAGTGCAACATATTCTAGCTTTGAGGAAAGGTCGGAGGGAAATCAAAACTGAAATCACCACTGAAAAAGAAAAGGTCAATCCAAAAATCGAAGATAGCAATGACAAATGCAATGTAAAGTCAACAGATAATGAGACTGATGTTGAGTCAACAGATGGAAAGAATAACTTCAACGAAGAAAAACTGGTTATCAAAGAAGAAGTCGAGGAAGATGTAGGCAAATCCATCTCCCAACCAGAGCAAGTTGAAGAAAATGAAATTGTAGCACCTGAAGAAAACAAAGAAAATGACAATGCAAACAAAGGGACGGAAGAAGATACTGAGGTCTCCACTGTAGGCAGCAAAGATACCTCTGAAACTGGTGGCAAGTTCATAGAAGTTGAAGAATTTTTCGTCAAGTATAGAAACTTTTCTTACCTTCATTGTGAATGGAAAACAGAACAAGAATTATTTAAAGGCGATAAAAGAATAATTCAAAAGATCAAGAGGTTCAAACAGAAGTTAGCTCACAATACAAATATTTTTGAAAATGTAAGTAATATGAAACTCCACTGAATCTTTTTTCATTATTTATCTGTTTACAAAAGGATTGTAATGCTTAATGCGCTCTAGGGACTAATGACTCTTTTCTGCTCATCAGGGTGCCCAAATAAGGAGGAGTATCATTTTGGGCCTTTTCCGGCCCCACCTGGATTTTACTGAATGTTTCACATTTTCAAAGTGCTAGTCCTGGGTAGACTCTATGCTAAATATTTCATCGAGCAGAGTCTATGCAAAGTTGCAGCAACGCCTCAAACCTAAAATCCTGGCATCGAAAAATTTATACAACATTTTTTATTTTTATTTTTTGTGTTCTGTTAAAAAAGGTGCACGGTTCTTAGTTTCAATTGAGTTCTGCGGACCGATTATTGAAATTTAAACCAGCCCGGTAAGACATCGAATTGCGATATATTGCATGGTTAAGATAGGGCTATGTCTTGTCGTGTCGGGCTGACATAGTTTCAATAATCGGGCCGCTGCATGTGTAAAATTGGGAAAACTCCTAAAAATGGGCCAACTGCTGCAACTTTGCATGGGCTCCGTTCGATGAAATATTTGGCATAGAGTCTACCCAGGACTAGTACTTTGAAAATGTGAAACATTCAGCAAAATCCAGGTGGGGCCGGAAAAGGCCCAAAACGATACTCCTCCTTACCTGGGCACCGTGATGAGCAGAAAAGAGTCACTAGGCCCTAGAGCGCATTAAGCACTACAATATAGTACATAATAGTTTGTTCTATGTTGCCAAATTTCCCAGAAAAATCGTTTCAAAGAGCCAAAAGTGGCTAAAATTTGATATATTGCCACGCCCAAGGTTCAAGAAAGTGGGGTCAACTTTTATATTGGCATACGTAACAGCTCTTAACCATATATACAACATATCAAAAAAGTATAGTTGTGACATGAGATCTAATCGGGAACGCCGAACAACGAGAGGAGAGGGGACTCGGATTTCTTCCACCATGCTGCGGCATGATAGAAAATAGTCCGGATTCAATTGCGAAAATCTCGGTTTCCACTCGCAAAAATGAGCTAATTTTTTGGATTTCCCTTAGTTATGAACTTTATATCAATCTATTAAAGTTTCATCGACTTTCATCGAGAGTCGCTGACCCCATGCTCTGTGTGGGGTTCTTTGGCGTAAGCTACTTTTTGAAATTTCATTTTTATGTTGTTTCACATGGTCTTATGAGTAAAATAAGCTTTCAAAATTGAAGTTCCTCTGTGCCAATCTTGAGTTAATGGGGTCTGAAAAGTGCCGTTTTACGCTTTCAATCAAGTGGGAAATATTGTGCTCTGCTTTGTGCTAATTTTTTGCTAACAATGTGTAGGAAGACAATGATTTAGTACAAGACATGGTTGCCGCAGTCAGGGTAAACTGGGAAATGTCAGGGAAAATGTCGGAAGTGTCAGGCAATAATTGTTTAGTTACCTTTATTTGCTTTTTAGAATGGGTTCGATGTTTCAAACAGATTTTGTTTGAATACTTTTTCTAAGTATGTCTTTTTAACCATCTGACGTATCTTCAATTGGACTGCATTTTGCAATTTGGACCTATAAATTCCGGCCCGGTTTAAAAACAACGTATGTGCCATTAGTTTCCCTATGCACATAAGTGTTTTTTCAGATGAGCCAGAATTTATAGGTCCAAATTGCAAAATGCAGTCCAATTGTCAGGGAATAATACCAAAATGTGGTAGGAAAATCAGGGAACCGTCAGGGCATTTCATTTTCCAAATTCTGTGGCAACCCTGACAAGAACATCATTTTGTGATTTAGCCGAATATTTGCACTAAAAATTTACAGTGACCTCTTTATATATCTATGAATGTATTAAATATGCAGCTGAAGGAAAAGTAATATAGCCTACTGATCTATTGCCCACCCAGAATTACAATAGTAGACATTTCTTCATCCCCACCAACTCAATTAAGTACAAAATTTCCGAAAACAGCGTTAAGATTGCTTCTATTCAGCTGTTCAATGTTCTCCCCCAAAATATTAGGAGACACTTTAAGAACTGAGAGACCAGCCAATTTTTCTCACTCTTTAATCCTTTCTTTTGGCTGAATCCTTTCAAGATCTCTCTGAATTTATCCCCTCTGTTTAACTTCTTGACTTAATGCTCTCTCATCTCTCAAAGTATCGACAATTTATTGCTTTTAGTCTCTCTGTTTCCTAATTTTCTGTTTCTTCTTCCACTATGTTCGAACTTTTTAAATCTTGCTAGCCATAGAAACGCCTGTGATTTTCTTCCTTGATTCATTATTTCCGACTATTATAGTAACCCTTTTTGGTGGCTTTATGTATGCTTTGTAAAATAAGTAAATAAACAAGGAACATGAACCATTCCGTACCTGTGATGTATCTGCACGCCAAGGGGGTTATGACGCACTGGCCAGATTTCCCCGATTCTTGGAGTGCGATGTGACGACCGTGCTGATCGCCCTTTGGATCCTTGGGTCTTCTAGTCGGATGACGACTGTGGTAATAAGTTGTCACTTATACCTTAGGGTTGCCAAGTTGTTTTAGGCGTAACTTCATATCGTGTAGGAGGCTTAGAAACCAATATCGGTGAGCAAAATTCCTTGTTAAAAGTTGCAGGCGGCAATGCGACACCAGATTCTCAAACCCTAATAAATTTTTTAATATTTAACCAAATCTGTTGATCTTGTCTCATGAGGAAGCTATTAGGTTTGCCTTTTGAATAAGATCAAAGGAAAGCATCTACGTCTACCTACTTTAATTTTGAAATTATAGCATGAGTCGCACTACTCTTTGAATAACCTACATACATTGGTAGCATTTTAGTCTATTGAATTGAGTAATTTGTTTACAGCTGGAAGAAGAACCTTTCAACCCTGATTATGTGGAGGTGGATCGAGTGTTGGATGTAGCAGAGCATACTGATCCCAACACCCAGAAAACCATCAAACACTATTTAGTCAAGTGGCGCTCTCTTCAGTACGAGGAGTCAACCTGGGAATTGGAAGAAGATGTCGATCCAATAAAAATTCAACAGTTCGAGAAAATTAGGAAACTCCCTCCTAAGGATAAATGGAAAGTAAGTCACTTTCACCTGTTAACTGCCTTTCTTTATTTCTGCCCTGCTAAGCTAGGTTGGTCCACGAGGACTAATCCAAAATTTTACCATTATTATTTTAAAGATTTTATTTCTAGAATCCATCTTTGTCAATTAATTATAGATTGCCTCTATACTTTTATCTGAGAATTATTTGCTAACTCCTCATGCAAAATCTCAGCTTAGCAATCTAAAAATTGTTTTCAAGCATAATTCAAAAACGTATTACAGAAACTCTAAACGACATGTAACTGGAAAAAGCAAGCCGAATTTAGACTGTCATGCTCTACAATATATCACCTCTATACTATGAAACAGATCTTAGAAGGAAGCAGCGACATGAACTTATCAATTACTTAGCTTTCATAGATCACAAAAAAGCGTTTGACTCAGTTGAGCACCATGCAATATGGAAGGCACTATCAGAAGGAGAGGGAGTTGAAAACACTTATATCGACCCGACGTAATTAATAGGGCGGAGCGCTAAAACTGACTTTTCGCGGCGCCCGGGTTCACCATGATTTTTAGTGGCCAAATAGGCTAAAAATAAGCTACGAAAAGTTTGGGATCCTAAAACCACCCCTAGACCCGTGCGACATGGCCTAAAGGGGTTGAAATTCGAAAAATTGAATTTCGGAGATTGAAAAGTGTCAATTCCTACTGAAATGATAAAGTTAGAACGCTTCGCACGAAAATTTTGTTCGGTTTGCCGTATCTCGAACGGAAAAGGCGTAAACGTCCTTTCATGAGCGCGCTTCAACCCCCTAGCAGCGCCGTGCGCCGCGACGCTCACCGCGCCTCTCCGACCCGCAACGCACATAGCTGTCGCGCATTTGCCTGATGCTAGATGTCTGAAAATCAGTAATTTACTTTGGATATAAATTGACTGTTCATATAGTGTCTTACTATAAAAATGATTATTATAAGCAGTAACCGCATGAAAACCTAACTATAATGATAACATAATTGCAGAATTTTGGGCATTATTGTGGTCAAGAATTGTGAATATGCGACTGATGATAAGTGTAGTGTATAGCTTATCTTACTTTAAAATTTGAAGTCCGCTTTAGTTTCTAACTTCGGCATTTTCTTCCTGCTTTGAAGCGTTTTAATAGGTAGCGTGAAGTGCCGATTTTCATCAGTTTCGGCCTTTGTGGACGCAGATGTGACTTCGTCACGTACCTCTCCACAGCTTGGGTGTGACAGGGAAAGTTTTTTATAACGAAGGTACACGAATCATCCTTGAGTTTTTTCAGTTGGGCATCAGTCAGACTCAAGAGGACAGGAGGCTCTGTGACGTTAGTGGTGTTCCAGTTGATGAGTGAGCTGTAATCGTTGGCTTCGAAATTAAACTTGGAAACGTGAAAACTGCGTGGTATTTCAGACTTATGCGCGCGCGCCTCCACAATTCTTACCCATGCCTCTTGTCTTATCTCTTCTCGTTCATCACCAACCATTGTGATTAAAATATTTTCGGGATGACCGTAAAAACCATCGTGTTGTATTACCGGATCTACAATAGCTTTCAAGTTTTCCGATAAATACCGTGATAGGTGAATGGTTTTCCATAAGTTATAAGCACCATCTTGCACTGAGTGGTTCACTTTAATTTGAAACCACATAGGTGCGTAAACTTTTTGGATGAAAGTAACTAATTGCACAAGTTCATCACTAGGATATTCCGTCGCCACGTACAACCTTAAAATTCTACATGCAGCCGTTAGCCAGCGTGCATGACAAACTTTTCCCAGGGTTTTTTTCGCGACATCTTCTGAACAAAATCCCTCTGAAACAGCAATTGACATTTTCAGCAGGTACTTTTGGTCGGTACTGAACAGTTTGACGTCAACAGTTTGGTGGGTCAAAGTTGTCTCAATTGGTTCAAAATAAATTACCTCAAACTTATGGCACTCTTTGAGGTTGGTTCCAATAGGTCCAGAAAATGCGTAGGGACTTGTTGTTTTGCCATCTAAATGTTCGATGAGGTGGCGCAAAGGTAACTCATTGTTATGGAGTTGACAAATTGCCCATTGCAATGGGCGATTAAGCTCTTTTTCCAACAATCTTATGATTCCTCCTTTCGGGCCGGCATTAACATTGGTGCCGTCAGAGCCAACAATCTTTAACATCGGGAGATCTATCTTCTTCAATGCTATAAAGTTCATGATAGCATTTTTAATGGAAATTGCGGTTCCACTTTTAGGGGTAACAAAACCCAAATACCTCGAATCAGGTTCCTCCACTAAAACCAAGTGTTCCACCAAACTTTTGATCTGATACGATTTACCACCTTGAACTTTCAAGTTGACTGTTTCATCTTTCCATCCATCAAAATACAATCCTTCAATGCTGCGCATCGATTCTTCTTCTTTTTTCTTTACTTGTGCTAGGATTTTCTTCTTTTGCCGTTTGAGGTAATGACGATCCACGGTTTTTGAGCGGTCATGTGTCGTTATCTGATTAGTGTCCGCCATGGTTGCGTTTACTATCACTGCTGCTTGTCTAATGGGCATGCCTGTTCTCGCGATCGCCTCAATCACGTTCGGTAGTTGCATCCGATTACGTTCTGAGGAGCCACCACTTGTACCAGGTTTGTTCGGATCAAAGTTCAGAAACTTTTTGGCGAAACCATTGAAATCAGAATCTGTGGAGTCTCCATATCCATTTCCTCCATTTCCGTTTCTGGATGAAAAAGACACATCAAGTTGCTGATCCTCTGGTTCGTCGGGTGTTTTCGGCGTTGTTCTTCGCGACCTTGACCTTTCAGCACGCTTTTTCAAGATTTTCGTCACTGAAGCATCGATGCCTCCGATTGACATTATACGTTTTGTCCTTTGAGCCTCTAAAAACTTCCATTCGGACTCCGAAACGCGGGCGTACCCAGGACATTTGCATTTTTTTAACGATTTGCACTTACAGGAACAAATGTCATGCAGTGTTTCGCACTTCTGTTTGAACTTATTAATTTTTTCTGTGAGCACAGGTCCTATAATAGGCTTTTGCGAATTTTTTTGTGAAGCAATGAAGTTCTTATTTAAAGTTTTTATGGATTTAGTCACTGCACTTTCACTCACGGTGGGAATCGACGCTTTTTCCCATATTTTGCGCACTTTTTTTGCAACTTTGGTTGCAACTTTAGCAACTGTAGGTTCCATACCTCCGGTTTCAGCCCGTATTCTTTCGCGGATGAAGAAAAAAATACCGAACAATATCTCGGATTGTCAGGAGCATAGTCTCGTTTAAGTCCACTGAATGGCCAAAAAATGGACACGCCAAATCGGATCGCACTTTTTTTTTCCGGCCCATTTTCACAATTGGTAAAACAATACACAAATTAGAAATCACGAAACAGTTATTTACACCAATTAATCAAATGAGATAAATAACAACTTCCAGTAAAGAATACGAATACAAAACGATTTTTGCAACGCTTCGATGTACACGAGAAGTTTAATCTTGTCCGCGGTTTGAGAAGGTGCCCGAGTCAACCTCTAACTCAAACTGATTCTTGGCCTCCGCTTTAAAAGCCATTTCGGATGTATTTGCCGAAAAATCCAAAATTAGAAACATAGTTGTAAAGTTGAAACTAGAGAAAATGTCGTCCCTCATAGATTAAAAATATACGACAAACCCTCATAACTGACATGACAATGCTGCTGAAAGGCAACTCATCCTCGTCCACGAGGTTCATGCCGAGCGCATTAAACAATGGACTTTTATGATGCGCTCTCGTCAGCTCTCGAACCTTTTTTCCACGCGATTTTGCGCAGCCCCAACTTAGACCCCGATCCTAATGGCTTCGACGAGCACCGATAACCCCCGCCTCCACCGCATCATCCAACATCAACAGCTACTCTTATCAATGCTTGCCGTTTCTGGCGGGTCAGGGAGGCGCGGTGAGCGTCGCGGCGCACGGCGCTGGCGCAGCGGCGCTGCTAGGGGGTTGACGCGCGCTCATGAAAGGACGTTTACGCCTTTTCCGTTCGAGGTACGGCAAAACGGACAAAATTTTCGCGCATAGCGCTCGAACTTTATCATTTCATTAGGAATTGACACTTTTCAATCTCGGTAATTCAATTTTTCGAATTTCAACCCCTTTAGGCCATGGCGCACGGGTCTAGGGGTAGTTTTAGGATCCCAAACTTTTCGTAGCTTATTTTTAGCCTATTTGGCCACTAAAAATCATGGTGAGCCCGGGCGCCGCGAAAAGTCAGTTTTAGCGCTCCGCCCTAGTAATTAATGTATATATAGACAAAGGTAAGGTGGTGCTAGAGTGCAAAAGAAGACTTTTTTATATTCAAAGAGGGATGGAACAAGGGAGCTTCATCCTGTTCAAGTATGTCATACAGCACATTTTCGGGAAAATGAAACCAGGAAAACTTGTTCTAATCTTCCAAAACTGTCACTTTGACATTCTTAAATATGCCAATGATGTAGTCAGGTATTTCATAGTGCTAAAGGTCTTGAACTCAATGAGAGCGGCAAAGAAATTGACTTGAAAATAAGTGATAGTTTGGTTTTTGTACTTTATGATTAAATTTGAAAAAGTTTGTCAAAAGTTCAGGAAAATTCATTTAAAATTGTCTCTGTTGTATCTTTTATTCTGTTTTTAGCCAAAGAAAAAGCCTAGTGCCAATGAGTGGGTAAAATTGGACAAATCTCCTGTTTACAAAAATGACAATACACTCCGTGAATATCAGCTGGAGGGTTTAAATTGGCTCCTTTTCTCTTGGTACAATGGGTAAGTGTAAATTATGTATAAGTTTACATTATTCACTGAATTAAAAATTTGGCATCTGTCAAAGTAAATTTTGTAAGTAGCTCAAAATTTCATAAATACAACAATTGAAAAGAAATCAAACATCTATTCATAGGAGATGGGAGACTTGAAATAATCAAATATTATATTGAGCAAATAGGAAATGGAGACTTCGGGGTATCATCTTATTGCCATTCTACCTCATTCATGATGCCTCATCTCTAAGTTTTACCTGGAAAACACCAAAAACTCTTATTTTGATAATGATTCTGAGAGTTTCCTCAGGGTCTTCAATAGGTGCTTCAACCCTTAGTCTACGAAGTATTTCTTGCATGATCTGTTAGTCTAGACACTGAAAGCTGATTTTTTCTGGTTAGGCGAATTCAAAGTAATGTGTTGGATCCATAAAGTCTAATAGTAGTTTTCAACTGCAAATTATTAAAATAGCTTGTTGACGTAATTTCACCTTTCTATCTGCTTATGTTCTTATGAGAACGTTGACCAGCCAAAACGCAAAGTAAGTACAGAAAGAGCTGTCTCTTTTGAATATTTTAAATATTTTTAAAGTGAGCTATAAATACTGTATCTCAAAAACTTGTCTCAAAAACTTCCTTATCTCTGTCTTATACGTTATACTGTTGGTACTTGTTACAGGCGAAATTGTATTCTAGCAGATGAAATGGGTCTTGGTAAAACGATTCAGTCCTTAACTTTCATCAATGCTGTTCATGAGTATGGGATTCGAGGACCATTTCTTGTGATAGCACCTCTATCAACCATTCCTAATTGGCAAAGAGAATTTGAAGCATGGACTGAATTAAATGTCATTGTTTATCATGGATCGTAAGTGATTGATCAGTTTTTGTTTGAGCTCTAGCCATTGATCTCTACATTGATGGAGCTCAATGAAATGGCTGCAAATGATGTCTGATGGAAAAGTAACAAACATGTTTTCTTTTCAATGGCTGAAGCAATGAACCTTCTTTTGGTTTCCTGTTTTAAATTAGGAGTAAATTAAATTGTGGCTAAAAACCCCCAACATCTTAAACAAATCCTGTCAGCCTCAGTGGTGTAGTGGTCAAGGCAGTTCGCTGCCAACACTGAGGTCCCAGGTTCAATCCCCGGAGGTGACTGATATTTGAGGACACTGGGATGTCAGTCATCGTGACCATGGATGACTATGCCACTCCAATACCCTGACCCTTTGAGGTAATAGGGCGCGGGAGGAACATAGTCACCCAGTAAGTAATCTGTCTGCACTGTTCGACTGGGCTGTGAAAAAAAAAGTCTGAGATCTCTCGTAGTGTACGCAACTGCCAGTGCTACCTATCAGTGGAGATTGCAACAACACAGTCCATCTTGATGGAGGCATGATCGTTAGGGTGTCCCACTTTGAGGGTCACCTCGGAATTTTGATGATGATACCCTCTAAATCGTCGACCTCACTTATAAAAATAAGATTGCTCTAAAGAAAAAAAATTCTACAAACATTTTTAAGGGTTGCGCACAGTCAAAAACCACCCCCCGGAAGAGGGCAAAATGCAGAATTTTGCCCATTTTGACGATTTTTTTAAACAACATTGTAATGGAGCTAGGGCTCTGAAAATCTCACAGTAAGAGCTTATGTTAGGGCACTTTAAAGGAAATTTTTTGTTCATGTCATCATGCGTTTCCATTTTTTGTTATAAATCCTCAAAATCGGCTAAAAACGCGAGAATTTCAAGATTTTATATTTTTATCTTATGACGATTTTTTCAGCTGACCAAGTTAAATTAAACATGAAACGTACCATTAATTGCATCTTGATACTCATTTTGACAAAAATTCATAACTTTATTAACCCCTCCCTCTTATTTTTTACCGTAAATTCAGCGTTTCCTAAGCAAAGACATTGAATAGAGTAGACCGTGCACTGTGAAGTTGAGTGGTGGCCACTTCTCTTCCATTCGCATGCCGCACCGACCGATGAGTGCGGGAACACCGAAACGGCACCGGTGAGGTAGTGAGCCCCAGTCGTCCCTAGCTCAAGGTAAACGAACAATGTGCTTATACGAGGTTGGTACGGTTCGGCTCCAAAATTTTTAATTATTAATTGATCAGTGCAAATATTATCGACTGATGTGTTCTTTAATTATAATCTAATGTTTCTGTGTGAAGATGTGTTTTAGTTTTCATGATTAAACATCACTCAACTCTCAATTTATGGTTTGCTTACATGAGCAAATTCGTGAAGATTGATGAATCGGGCAAGAGACATGAATGTTTATGTCCCGATGATAATTTTTAAACTTTGACTACATTTGGCCTTAAGGAACTACTATTTTCGGTTCATTTGTTTTATTACCTATCTACACAGGAAACTATTACATGACAAAACAACCGATCATGAACTAATGGCACGTTCTGTTCTTCCTAAAATAAGCCAGAAATAGCAGGTTCCCATTAAAAATTGTAGTCAACTTAGTGTCTTCAATTTCAAAATAGTGTTTCAGTTTGTGATATTTATTCGTGATAAATGTAATATTAAGTAAATGCTCTCAGCATTTTGCTGAAAACATAGCATAAGTGCTGTGTTTTTTTTAATTTTAGAGAGGAAAGTAAGGACATGATAAAAACTCATTTCATAGAATCCACCGCACTGCAATGTGCAGTAAAATTGAGGCACTGGGTGCAAGAATGACACTTCTTGGTTGCGGTGGTTCAAAATCTCTAGTAATATTTCATCAGTGAAGGAAATGCATGGATTTCGTTGAAATTTCTACTGAGTTATTTTTCATGATCCTGCAATTTTCTGAGAAAAAAATCCTTGAAAGAGCGACGCCAAGAATGGCACAATTTGGGCCAGCCGGGATTTTTCTGAAACCGAGCCTAAACGATACCTTATGATACCCTAAAACTCTGGTAAAAATTTTAGCTTGAGTATACGCACGGTTTTTGAGAAATGAGGGGGCAAAGTTGCCAAATCGCCATCATTCAAGTGACATCAAGTGACTGAAGCATTGATTTTGAAAATTTTGAGCAGATTAAATAACATTAAGTTGCAACTCGCAAATTAGTGTGATAATACTGCTTGAACCTTACCTTTTTCAGTGGAATATTCTTAAATCTTGGTACTTTGAAACAGCCGAAATCGTTGCCCCTTCTTTTTCAGCTTTTCATCAAATCTTTCTTTCAGATCAAGATGGGCAATAGCTTTAAGTAACTGTCCCGTAACTTTTATATGCCTTTTTAGGTACAATACATAACACCATTCCTCGTTTTTACCCTTGATTTATATGATTGACCTCATTTTAAATCCTTTTTGTACCTTTCACAAAATTACTTCTTATCCACGCTGTCATCTTTACAAGCTGCACGCATCATAAGAACATCCGGCTGATACGCAGGTCACTTTTCTCATATTTTCAATTATGAAGCGTTTTTCTCAGTCAGTAATGACTGTAGAGAAACGAAAATTGTTCAGAGTTATAGTAAAATTCGTGCTCTTAACATGTGATCCTGTAAATTTTGCCGAAAAGTGGAGTGAAAACGAGTAATTCGCGAAAATTCGAGTGCGCAGTTGATTTTTCCAAGTACGCACAACGCCGGTTCGTGCTGCGTAGGGCTCAGTCGCGAGCTCCCACCCTGCCCGCCCATTACGGAGTCCCACAGAAGTGGCCTCGCTCAACCGACATGGCGGAGATAGGGAATGCATTGTCTACTCTATTCAATGTCTTTGTTCCTCAGTTGTGATAGGTGCATGGGATTTTTTTTCTTTTTTCATTAAAGATTATATTTTTATTCATTTTCTCACATTTTAATGGCGACGTAATGTGTAATTGAAGTGGTACTTACTTATGAAGAATGATAGCACATGATGACTTTTTTTTAAAAAAAAATAAATTGTATTTTCGAAAAAAATTAATTTTACTAAAATATATGGGAATGGGCCCAAGCGCCAAACAATTAGAAAAAGCATCATTCCTTTCTTCTAAAATACTTTAACAGAAGCTCCGTAGGAAAAGAAGAAACACCGACTAAATATACTTCACAAAAACGAGGTAAGTCTTCCAAAAAAAGTGGCAAGTTGACTAAACAGTAGAGGAAATGCATGATTACTTCCTCTTTGAACACTTAACAACTGACGCTTCAGCGATAATGACAGGACAGTTCATCCTACTGTTTTCGAAACTATGGCTATTTTTCGGCATCAATTTGATCCAACAGAAAGTAATTTGAAAGGACTTCAAAAGGTTTGCTTATTCAGTTTAAGATGTTCAATCTTCGCTGTTACAAACGTCAGCTTCCAATAATTGCCGCGTCTGGTGTTAGTACTCATTATAAAGGGAAAATATCATTCGAGTGAAATTTTCCCTCAAAATGACTTTAATGCGTATTTCCTTTGGTGTATTGGAGATGTCACGGACAAGCAATGAAGATAGGATTTGGTGTCAACAAACAGTTTTTGAAAGTTTTTGTTGACACCATGATCATCCAAAAATTAAAAATTCTTACTCCTATGAAAGATGATCATGGTGTCAATGATTACGGCGGTGTCAACAAAACTTCAAACGTTCCACTATAACATCTTTCGAATTTCAAGTCTGATTTTTCTTCTGTTATTTACTGCAGCCTAACCTAACCTTACCTTATCCCAATTTACCAAACCTAATCTAATCTAACCAAGCTTTACCATACATGTAACCCACCTTTACTGAACCAAACTTTCCTCGACCTTATCTCACTTACCTAATCTAACCTTACCTGTCCTAACCTAACCTACTCTAACGATCTGCGACCCAAACCTCTCCTGTAGACTTAATTTTTTAATTTTACTTGTGAAGAAGACATTCTGTTTGTTGACACTGTGATCGTTGACACCATGCTCAGGGCCTATTTGTACGTTTTACTGCCTGAGCACAACGTCAACAATCGTCGACTCCATGATCAGATTTTTTGTTTGTTGTCACATGATCGTTGACACCATGCAACATTACTAGCTAGAAGCTGTTGGCATCTAATGCTCTTTACCTTTGGCAAAATTGCTGACAAGGGGAGCTTCCCAAGTGTAACCGGAATTTCGAGTTGAAATTTCGCATGAAGATACTTGAGATGATATTAGGGATGCTGTATTTTTTCGTTTTTTCGATTGGGGTCGGGAAAGCCCTCAAAAAAAGGGCTAGAGATGCGGAAAAACCGCGTTCGCTAGCGGCACAAGGTAAACATAGGTGATAGAGGCTCCCCGTCCTTATCAGTACCGCATGGCCAAACGGTAGCGCGCTCGCCTGGCAGGCGGGAGGTCCTTGGATCGGATCCTGGTTACTGCCCGCAATTTTATTTTACTTTATGCTTGTTTAGTTTTCACTTACTTTATTTTGCACCATTCTCTCGGCACACCGACTTACAAGGTAGAAAAAACTCGAAGTTTCTCTTGGATTGAAACGTTATATATAATTGAATAAACAAAACACTCTGAAACTCACCACATTTTGTTGCCAAGCTGAATTTTCAAAGTATCAGTCGAATCTGTATCTGACTGATACTTCAGAAATTCAGCTTGGCGACGAAATTTGGTGAGTTTTAGAGTGTTTTGTTTATTCAATTATATATAACGTTTCAATCTAAGAGAAACTTCGAGTTTTTATCAGCATATGTAAAAAATCTTCAGTCACGATGTGTTCTACCTCGTAAGTCGGTTTGCGGAGAGAATGGTGCAAAATAAAGTAAGTGAAAACTAAACAAGCATAAAGTAAAATAAAATTACGGGCAGTAACCAGGATCCGATCCAAGGACCTCCCGCCTGCGAGACGAGCGCGCTACCGTTTGGCCATGCGGTACTGATAAGGACGGGAAGCCTCTATCACCTATGTTTACCTTGTGCCGCTAGCGCACGCGGTTTTTCCGCATCTTTAGCCCTTTTTTTGAGGGCTTTCCCGACCCCATTCGAAAAAACGAAAAAATACGGCATCCCTAAAATCATCTCTAGTATCTTCATGCGAAATTTCAACTTGAAATTCCGGTTACACTTGGGAAGCTCCCTTTGTGAGTCAGATAGTTGTCAAGTCCATAAAATTCAAAACCGATTGTTTTCAATGGCTTCCAACCAGTGCAGAATTGTAGAGTATACTCAGATTCATCTTTATGAACTCATAGAAGTAAATTATCTACATATGTTTTTTTAAAAGTTGACTTAAAAGGGCATTAAAAAGAGAGTTTCCAAATTTTCTATTACTAAGTTCCTTAGAACTGCAACTTAGAACTTCCTTAGAAATACAATGAAGGAAATATTAAAAATTCTCTCAGCATTTTGTTGATTTTTTTTTTTTTTTTTTTTTTTTTTTTTTTTTTTTTGCAGGTCTGCAAGTAGAAACATGCTTCAAGAGTATGAGATGTACTATAAAAATGACAAAGGAGCCAACATCAAAGAAGTTTATAAATTTAATGTATTAATCACAACATTTGAGATAATTCTTTCGGACTACATGGAACTCAAAGACTTCAATTGGAGACTGTGTGTCATAGATGAAGCTCATAGACTAAAGAATAGGAATTGTAAATTATTAGAAGGCCTACGGCAACTGACTCTTGTAAGTTCGACTTCTATTTTGTGTGAACGTTTAACTTTTTTCCTGTCATTTCAATTTCAACAATAATCTTTTACTGTTTAGCTGAGTCAAAACTGTGGACAGTACTCCATCATGCTTAGCCTCTCCCTAGAGACAAAACATAAAGGACTGTTTAACTGCCTTCGAAACTTGAAGTTTCATCCCATCATTATAAATGCAAGAATACAACCAGATGTACTTTTGTGTAATCACTAATGCTGTTGCCTGTCAATGTCAGCTTGGTATGGTGAAAAGAAGATGGCCTACCACCGCAGCGGTTCTGTGTGGAACTTTTAATTATTTTATGTGACTGCAGGAAATATCATTTTTTTTTTTTTTTTTTTTTTTTTTTTTTTTTTTTTTTTTTTTTTTTTTTTTTTTTTNTTTTTTTTTTTTTTTTTTTGCATGAAATCTCTTAAACATGTAGATTAATTAGTGTATGATATTATAGATAAAAATATCAGGATGATGGAAAGGCCTCAATTTCAAGGTAAGACCAAAAAAATAAGGGTAGAAGGTAAAATTTGTAAGGGTTAACATTGCTACTTGTCTTCATGTACTACATGTGTTCAGTTCGTGTAGAGGTCCGCGATACCGGCTCATTGCAGCGGAAAACTTAAACAACACAGTTTGAGGAGAATTTCGAACTATTCATGGAGAGGGAAGTAGTGTTCTCTGATGAATTTACCGTTCCAAAATCGGGAAAAGACTTTCAGATTTCTCTGTCTTCCACATCAATATATTGTAAACTTTTCACATTGTCAGGACCGGTCCACATTTCCTCCAACTGGATGAGTGCCAATGAAAAGTTATGGAAAGATGATGCAAAATGTGGAAGGACCCAGGAAATTTTATTTGATATTTTTTTCCTTTTTTTTCTTTTTCTTTTTCTTTTTTCATCATCCTTCCACGATTTACGCTTTTTTCACGTATCCTCAACGATTATAGTACATTCTAGGATTTCAACTTGAAATTGTGGAAACCTTTCCAGATTTACCGGACCTTTCCACATTTCCTCTTACTGGATGAAAGTCAATTGAAAGTTGTGAAAAGATGATGCAGAATATGGAAGGATCCATAAATTGCCCATTGTTTATCATCCTCCCAAAACTTTCTCTTTTTTTCGCGGTCCGCTTCCACGTCTTTACAGATTCCAGCCTGAAATCTTTCCATATTTTTCTCACTGACTGAAAAACATAGTTGAGGGAAGAGGCTACTAATGTTTAAGGATGTCGAAAATTATGACATTTTCACCATATTTTTACAATTTGCTCCTTTTCACGTCTTTTTTATTTTTTCTCTCAACCTCGACACATTTTGGGATACCAAATTTAAATTTATGTATGCTGCACCCTTGGAAACGTGATGAAAAATAGCGGTGTTTTATTACTTTGGGATGCAGAGTATTTTTCAGTGAAGGGCGAGAACTGTTGACCCTTGCCTTGTCATATCTCTCTGCTGCATCACATCATCAGAAGACACAACCATTGCAGCCTTACAAGCAAATGAGACAAATACTATTAAAGCAATATTATAGTAAAACTCCAATATAGCGACCTTCGATTTAACTCAGTTTCATATAACAACGATTTTGGTAGAACCCATCAAGATTCCTTTAATGTCAATCTATTTTTGCCCCTGAAATAACGTCGTTGTATCAATAATAGATTTGACTTAACAATGATTTCATAAGTCAGTGGCATTTAAAATGTGATTAATTTATGTAAAGAACTCTGGAAAATCCAAACTTGTCACAAGAATGTCTGAAATTGAATGTGGAGCGATTACACGCATCAAACACGGATCTCAGCAACCAGCTAATGGTAGGTACACAGAGAGAATGGTCCTAACCGTGAGGTTCTGTAGTCCCGCATCCAGGGGCGTAGCTAGGAAATTTCTCTGGGGGGGGGGGGCATGGGACCACCTCTCATGGTGAAGAGAGCGGGGGGGTGAGGAATGGAGGACCCCGTTTTTCTGGGGGGGGCAGGCCCCCCCAGGACCCCCCTAGCTACGCCCATGCCCGCATCTCTGTCACTCTCCAGCTGGTCATGAGTCAGAAATGCTTCAATATTCCTAAAAGGAGTCGAAACTGTCATGCTCACGGAATCTCCTGCCCACTTGCTGAGCTCATTGACTGAATTAAACCTTTGTGACTGAATGATGAGATGATGCTATTTTGGGATAATTTGAAAAGAGGGTTTAGTTCAAGCTTCACAGAGGGGCTGTTCGGCTGATATTTTGTCATGCTTTTTTCAACAAAAAATGTTATCAAAAAAATTGAAGGTTACCTTTCAACTCTTGACTTGAGTCTCGACTTTCTCTTTTTGCCAGTACTGTCAGGCGTGTCATGACACCTTGGTTCATAGTGATCAATCACAGTGAGAGAGGGTGGCTGTCAAGAGTGACGACTGTCATGCAAATGAAAGGAGCCTAACAGAATTTACATCTTTTCTCCAAAGGAGGAGTATTGTTTTGGGCCTTTTCCGGCCCCACCTGGATTTTGCTAAATATTTCATATTTTCAAAGTACTAGTCTTAGGTAGACTCTGTGCCAAATATTAGACCGAACAGAGCCCATGCAAGGGCGCAGCAGCGCCTCAAACCCAAAATCCTGGAATCGAAAAATAATTATTTTCGTCGACTTTTTCGACTGTTATCACTCTTCCAGCAGATAATTCCTATGTATTTTTTTGCGTACTTTCCGTTTCTAGCCTTTTTAAAGGCCTCCGATAAATTTTAAGGGACCTTATGGCCCATTGTTGCCATTTTTGGCCCATTTTTAGGGTTTTTTTCCATTTAACACATTCAAAACTTAATTTAATCCAAAAACTGTGTACCCTTTTGAAAAGTACGTAAAAAAATGAATATAAAATGTTCCGTAAAATTTTTTCATACGTTGCCAAATTTCCGAGAAAATTGGTCCCAAAGTGTCAAAAACGGCAAAAAATCGATAAATCACCGCGCCTAAGGTTCAAGAAAGGGGAGTACAACTTTCATATTGTACCAGGTAACAGCTCTTATCCATCCATACAACATATTAAAATATCATAGTTGTACCTGGATTCCCATGATGTGAAAATTGACGGAGATGTCGATTTTAGCGGCCTTTTTATACTTGAAGGCAGCTCTTTTGAATGTTTTTCGACCTTAGTCACCCTCTATGGGTGTGTACTGTATGTATTTTTCTACGTACTTTTCATATCTGGCCATAAAAATGGCTTCCTGTGAATTTTAAAGGCTTAATGGTCCATTGTTGCCAATTTTCACCAATTTTTAGGGGTTTTTTCAAGTTTACGTGTGTGAAACTTAATTTAATCTAGAAACCGTGTACAATTTCGGAAAGAACGTAAAAAAATACATAGAAATGTGATTTGTACCTTTTCCCTACGTTGCCAAATTTTCGAGAAAAATCGTCCTGAAGCGTCAAAAATGCCAAAAATTGGATTAATCATCACGTCGGAGGTTCCAGAAAGTGAATTTCAAGTTTTTTTTCACTACAAATAACGTATCGAAAATGGAAAATTGCAATGCATCTCAAGGAACATGTAATGACGCAGATGAACGTGACAAAACGGGCCCTCAAGGTGCTTTTACTTTATCCTTCACTCCAGTTCACCTCTTTATTCCTGTAACCTCGAGATAATCCTTGGTTCTCAAGATGCTTGCTACAGGCCAAGTATACCGAACAACAGAAAATGCGTGGAGAAAGTGTACTACGATCCATCTACCTAAGACTAGTACTTTGAAAATATGAAATATTTAGCAAAATCCAGGTGGGGCCGGAAAAGGCCCAAAACGATACTCCTCCTTTTTTTCCAAGCCTTCCAGTATCTGACTTTCACCTTTGTATTTCTATTTCTGTTTACAGGAACATAGGGTATTACTGTCTGGGACACCACTTCAAAACAATGTAAATGAATTATTCTCGCTTCTTAACTTCTTAGAGCCAAGCCAGTTCACAAGTAGCGAAGCTTTCCTCCAAGAATTTGGTGCTCTAAAATCTGATACTGAAGTTCAAAAACTACAAATTTTACTAAAGCCAATGATGCTGAGAAGGCTCAAAGAAGATGTAGAGAAGTCCATTGCTCCTAAAGAGGAAACTGTCGTTGAGGTAAGTATTTTGACGATCACTTCTCCAGCCAAGTTAAATCTCTTAGGTTTTAAAATTTATTTAAATAGTGCCGTGCTGAACACCATGATTCATCGTAGGCAATTTTTGGTTTTTAATGTAAATTTTTTCAATAAAAGCTGCCCTTCAGAATCTACACCAAACAAGTTAATGCAGTTTGAGAGTGCGACAGAAAAATTGGCTGTCTTCTGAGAAGCATTGAATGTAAATTTAAGAATCAAGAAGAAATAGGTGTTGAATTTCTGGCTCTGCTTCTTTCCATCATAAATTTGATCTGGAGAGGTGTATTTCATATAGCGGCTGAAAGCTGTGATATGAATTAATTATTGGTTGAAAGCGGTGATTGCTACACAAAGGATTCCCCCCTTTTTGCTTCCACTGATCTTTCGCCACCCACGCCTCTTGAGTGCCCCCTCCCACTCCCCATGGCCCCTTTGATCCCGGGGCCGGGCCTGCTCCTGAACTTGTGATTCACTCGACCTCCTTGCCCCACCAAACATTTGCCCCTTCCAAGCTCTCTCTCCCACATTTCGTTTTCATGCCTTGCCCTTAGATATCGCTGTCTGGTCTTTGGTTCGCGTTCCTTTACAGAATTTCATGTTTTGGTTTTGATGGGATCCGCGGCCGGAGCCAGCAGCCTTCGAGTCTCTCACAAAGCTCCTCGTATAGTTAGTCTCCTATCTGTTCCGAATCTCACCGAAAAGAACCAGTAAAATCTCTACGAAAACAAGGGAGCTGATAGCAAAAAGGGAACGTTTAAATAGACTCGTTTACAAGACAGCCACCCAAAAAATAAAGCATGCTGAATTGAGAAAACTTGTTAAACGAGAAATTATAATACCAATTTATATACCAATTAATATTTTTTCAAAAACTAAAGAGGAGTGTACTCTTGAGAGTATAAGCTTTCATACTATCCTAAGTTTAGCTCGTTTGGATCATTTTTCAACCCAGGGCGGCACCAGTCTGGGAACATTTTGACCACACCTCATATTTATTAAATATCTGCCAAAAGCCGTCACCCACCATGGATTTCTTTTTCTTATTTTTTTCTTCTCCATGGCTACCTGTTGAAACACCTGCAATGGTAGAATCCTAAACTCAGCACACGCTCTAAGAATTAATTGTTTATTATAACTGCACCACGCGGAAGTTATCAAAAAATATCAGCATGGCCTAACTAGAGAAAAAAGAACAAGATCCAAACAAATGAAATAGATGGTGAGGAATCCAATGAAATCATGTTCAAACTTCAACAACCCTATTTTAGGGTAACATTCTATTTCTCATGATGTGTGCTTAATTTGAGCACCCTTTGTCTTGATATGATTGAAAATCTGTGTGGCATTACAAGCCGGTCCAAAGTGGGGAAAATGGCCAATCTAGCCGCTCAAAAGTCGGATTTTCTGATATTTGGCAGAAAGCTGTTCAAACCTAAATTGCATTCTTAGACATCCACCGACTTGGAATCAGCGAATAGAATTACTAATACACCTTTTGTCTTAAAGAAATTGATGAGGAACCATGAGGGTGAACAGAGAAAACTCGTAGAGCTCAGATGGAAGGTGCAATGTACATGCTCAGTACTGACGAGGTTTATGCAATTTACGGTTCATGTACACGCTCAGTACTGACGAGGTTTATGCAATTTATGGTTTTCTAGCACTACAGCAACCTTAAGAAATGTGCTAAATGGTTCATTTTATTTTAGGATAATTTTTTCTCACAATTTTTATTATATTAAAACCTGCTCTAAAAAGTCCATGTTTTTTTAACTTGAGAGGAGCAGGAAATATCGAAAACCAAGATCAGACTGTACTAGCTGACGCACAGTTTCATGTAGTTTCATAATCTGTAAAGATATCTTGCGGTTTTTTGCAGTTCAGAGAGGTAAACGAAAATTTGTGACACGGCGCACCACGGTTCTAATTTACTTTTCACTGATCAAAAATCACTACAGCCTAGCTTTGAGTAATATTACATCTGTTACATGTATTCCCCATGATTTTAATACGCTGAATCCAAATTTGAACTCAGATTTTCACAAAAACGTCATCTACCAAAGTTAACTCCATTTTTCGGTCAACTTGCTAAAAATCGCAAGCTCTCGAGCGATGGCTCAGAATGTGATTTCATTAAAGTGACAAAGGTGGGTATATTATGAATTTACGAGCTTTGCACTTGAATTTGCGCCTCTTCCTTTTTTTTGTGTGGGAAAAAGAAGGATGGAGGGTGAAAAGGCAATTTTTCGCATTAAGGGAATATTACCAGGGATAAAAACTTCAGTAAATTCGATTTCTGTAGAAAAACAGGGTGAACAAAAAAAAAAAAAAAAAAAAAAAAAAAAAAAAAAACCGGTACATTTGGAGTTGAACAAAACTATTTTAAGGTGCCTTTGATGTTTTAGAATAGTTCAGCATATTTTATAACAGCAAGTGTTGGTATTATCTGCGGAATAAATTAGAATATTTTCAAAGCAAAAACATAGATACGGAAAAGTATTCCTTCCAGCAAAAAAGTGGAAGAAACCAAACATTTTTGATATGTTTGGTTTTCAAAGGATCAATAGAAACTACTTCACAGGGTCTGTGGTATAGTATAATGGCTCGATCCGTTCTATGACTAAATGTGTAGGTGCTTTATGAAGATGAAAAGGAGGTGTTTTCAAAGCAAAAGCGCACTAGGTATGAATTTTCGGTGGAAAAGTAAAAGATGTCAATATTTTTTTGGCTTTTAGATGATCAATCAGGGTGTCTACTGAAACGTGAATATACGTCAATACGTAAAATGTACATAAATTAACGGGTCGGTACGTAAAATGCGTAAAAATACGTTTTTTTCCCCAGAAAGTATTCGTGTATGGTGCACATAAGTCTGCGCGCGGCGGACGGAGCATGCTGGTTTGAATCGTGTAGATTTAATTGATTCGGTGTTGATCTTTCGAACTGTGCAGACGTGGTTTGTAGAGCGCTCGTGAGACGGTAAAGCTTTTGGTTCGGCTCGCGGCCCGGGCATCGCGGCGCGCAGCGACCGCGAGATAACGTAAACAAAGTGCGGTTACGGCCGAAACTTCTATGTCGCTGTTGCCACACAAGTGTAAACATGGTGTGTATTGTTTTTGGAGAGACGATCAGTTCATCGGCTGTCAAAAATGCTACATCAGAGGAAAACTTGACTTCCTGAAATCGAGTCCAGCAAGAGTGAAAAATATGACGGATAAAAATCCGTTTGAGAAGAGTTCGCTCCTTTCAAGATCGCCCCAGGGGACAACCACGAGGACGAATACCGATGATAAAACAGATGATATAGC